ATGAAAGTATTACTAAAATCCCCATGGGGAAATTGTCTTTTCAACTATCCCATTTGCTCTCCATGAGACACACACAGACACATTTACAGGTAAGAACAAGCTTGGGGGGGGGGGGGCAATCAATTTATGTAACATTTGGGGTTAAGAGCCTTGCTCAACAGTAACTTCAACCTGCGGGTCATGGGATTCAAACCAGCAACCTTCCAGTTACGGGCACCTAATCTGCTGAGCCATACACTGCCCCAAGATATATGACTGGCACTGAGGAATACAAAATAAGTGAAAGTATATTTTCATCCTCTGATCTGACGAACCGGGACATCACACTGCCATTTTCGGTTTGTTTACATTGTGTAAAGAAACAGAGTTTGAGTGTCTGTATGTACTGCAGTGGTATATTCCCACCCTTTATATAATCAACCACACAAACTGCACCTGTTGTCCAAAGAAATCTAAATGTACCTCACTCCTGAACAGACACGGGAAACGTAAAAAGAAAGCCAAAATAACAGTGAATGTAAGATAGAGACAGTGAGACAGCTCACACATATTTATCTTTGCGTTAGGCAGATGGTTATTTTAGAGTGATTAGTGACCAGAGTAAATGACCCTTTTAAATAAGTACATACACAGAGGGAAAGATAAAAAGGGGGGTGGGGGGGCTGGGAAAGGTACACTGACATTTTGGTTTTCACTTGGTGTCCACGGCTGACTCACTTGACCTCACAGTTCACAGCTGTGCTGATTTCCTGACTGTTTTCCAGGCAGACATGCTGCTGGTTAACTGAACTGTCATTTAAAACCGGTTGATCTATCAAGTCTGTAAAGCATTTACTTAATCTGCAGTATTGACTGACATTGCTGCGATCATCAATCAATGCTAGTCAATAATTTAACGCTCTGCCCCTCGCATGAGACACATACCAGTAAGCGTGCTCAGGCAGCACGGTCTGTCGTAAGAGCAGCATAGATGCAGTTCATAATGCTGACAGTTACACTCTGTAAGGACTGCAGTGCCCACAAACACACGCACCCTTGACTCAACACGGTCACATGCCATGAAAAATTTCGTACAATCAGCTCACAGATGCACGCACACAGATCAGCCATCTGACTTAGTCACGTCATTTTCTTTCATCTTTCACTCTCTCATATCCATACCAATAGTTCCCTCTAATACGTCAGTCAGCCACTGGATGAATGGAGTGTTTCCCACCACTGGAAACAGTGTGCTGACAGTGCAGAACTAATGCTGCCTAATACCTAAGCTCAAATGGGCTAATAATACAAGACTCCTCTCACTAAGGCTGAGCCCAACACACTTGAGTGAAAGTATGCATAGAAACATGACTGGCAACACTGAATGAGTATGAAGACTGACAACTGAGAAGGAAGTAACAGACCGACCATCAGGACTGAGCACTGTGGATGCTGGACACAACAGATGCCTTCAGTGATAAAAATCCAGGCTCCAGTTTTCACTGAAACAATAAATTAAACTCCCCCAAAGTTGATTAGTGACTAAAAGTCAGAAAGTGGTGTGCATGAGCAATTATACAAGAACCAGACCTGTGGCTGGGGTCAGACGCTAGACTTCAGCATCTTCATGTGGAAAACAGTAACATGAAATGGGTAAGATGGAGGAAGAGGAAGAGAAACGGTGACCAAATATCACAGGCAGGTGAAGGAACGGGAAGGCAGATGGAGCACAATGATTACGGAGAGATCAGCATGTGAAAAGGAGAGGAAGAAATTGGAGTGAAGATACAGACGTCACATAAAGATATGGGAAGGAACACTGAGAGAGTGGGAGAGACCTTTGCATTTCTGGTGCAAGGTTCATGGAGCACTGATAATTTCTGGAGAGGAGTTGTAAATCAAGGTTTTTTTCAAAGCCAGCAGCCCCCTTTCTCCCAGTCACTCATGGCAAAAATCATTAACTCAAAATCATCCCAATTGCTTCTTAACAACAAATACTGGGTTGTCAAGAACGCGTTCTCACATGTAATTCCAAATGAGCTTCACTAAATGAAGTACAAGTTCTCAAAATATTGGGAGCCTTCGGTAATCAACGTTGATGAAAACTTAAAAGATTGTTTCAGCAAACTCCACTAGGAGGTACCGACAAATAAGCAGTTCTTCATCTGCACAGGCTGTTGTAATTAAACAGGTGACATGACCGGCATAATGCACAACACTATAGTACAGCGTACCTTATAAGAGATCAACTCTAAAAACAGTTTCGATTTAAGACGTTTCTAGAATCCACTCGGAGGTACCTAGAAACAATACACAGAACTTGATTTGTACTGGCTGCTTTAGTGAAACAGGTGACATAACCAGCACAATGGGCACAATGCACAAGCCATGTGCATCTGAACTGTAATCTAAAAAAAAACAAAACAATAAATAAACATATATAAGCTTTAGTACCACCCACTTTAATTATTATTACAGAGTTACATTATTATTACAGTCGATTTACCTTCGAGAAACGTGTAGCGGCGACTTCTGATTGGTTCTCTTGACGCCGTCGATTTCACGTTTTATTGATCTGTCACTATTTCATTCTTTTTAAGTGTACATGTTTCGCCGTACAGTGATGTGAGCTGAAACCGCTTATTGAAATACGGTTTAAGCTGACATGCGCTTTAAGGCTCCTACCCCTCGTTTTGCCGCCGCCGTCGCGTCTTTTTAATTTCTCTCCTTTATATGTTTGAAGTAGCTGGTGGGTTTTGATCAGCTGATAAACTTCTGCTTTCTGTAGCCCAACACTTCTGCTAAGGAAACGGGACGGGAGTGAGAGAGAATGGGAGGGTGTTCGCTACTTTATTATACCACTTTAACTGCGTAAATGATTTATGTCTGCTGACCTTTTAGGTAGGCTACTTCCAATACTGAAGCTCGTTTAAATACGTGTACTACGAAACACTCACATTATTCATCAGAATAAATGCATTAGTTCTCTGATTCCACATTTGAATCAAAATGTGGCTTGTAAAAAAATATTTGCACTTTTTATAGACGTTGATCCGTAACATTAATGCTGGCAGATTTTAACTGCACCCAAACTTCATCTACTTCATCTGATATCATCTCAGTCCATAATTACATTATCAAACCCGAAAACTGATATTGTTTGTTTCTAGAATAAACCCAAATGCTCTATAGCGGTACCTAGTGAACTAAATATGCTATTACACGTCTCTCTTCTAGCCAACCTGACCTTGTGGAGCTGCAGCTTTTGATCCTGAGAATGTGCAGGTAGTCAAACTAAATGACCTAAATATTGAGAAAAGCCTAAAACTACTACAGTGAGCATGTTTTATCTGAAAAATTTCCTGAAACTGTTAAATGGGATATATATTTCCTTGGTGTTATAGGACTATTAGTCTTCTTGTAAATATTAACAAAGAGATCAGGGTTAGAGTTGCTGCCAGTTAAAAAAGGTTAGTTTAATGGAAGAACTATATCAGGAAGTACTAACAGAACTAACACAAAGTGCACTAACACTTTCCATAACTGCTTCAATACAAGACCTTAGACTTAAGGTCCCCCTGGCCTTGCTTCTTTCGCTCTACTATTTTAAAAACTTTTGGGCAAACATATGCATGTCATGTAAGAAAAAGAAGTGCCCTTCTCCCTGTCTCTCTCACAAAAAAAAATGCCTTTCCATGGCTACTGGTCGCCATGGTTTCAGCAGGCAGAAAGAGGCAGCAGAGAGGCGATTGCTTCCTGTGTTGGGGCTGATTAGAGAAAAAGTGAACGTGTCAGATAAAAGAAAGGTGGTGAGGAACCACACACTGACTAACAAAACACTATGAAGGGTGAGGCCTGATAAAAGACCAGGAGAGTCACAAAAAGGAAAGGTTTATTACACAAAAAGGAAAGGTTTATCACACAAAAAGGAAAGGTTTATTACACAAAAAGGAAAGGTTTATCACACAAAAAGGAAAGGTTTATCACACAAAAAGGAATGGTTTATCTCACAAAAAGGAAAGGTTTATCACACAAAAAGGAAATGTTTATCACACAAATAAGAAACTGCAATTAAATAAATCAAGAATGTAATTTTGGGTTGAACATGAAGGGTTGAGGTATCCACCCATTTAGGTGGATCCAGGGGCCGGTTCTGATTATTAACAATATAACAACCACCCCCCAACTTACAGCCATGAAATGAATGAATGAATGAATGAATGATACACAAGTAGTTAAAATATTCTAACAAAACAATAAGCCACACAATCAGAAAGCTGAAGCACAAAGACACATCATTGAAAGCAATGATCCAGTTTTAGACTGCATAAATGTTTGTGTGTAATAATTATGATTAAAATCCCCAGATGTTGGTCTTGCTCCTTCCCAAATACCAAGGATACATTGTTTCCATCCTCGCTGAAAGAGACCAATCCCATGATTCACTGAGCCCCAAGTTAGTTCTTGGAAGGCAAGTTAGCAAGACCGGTCTTGCCATGACCAGAAGTATGGTCTTTGCGTTCAGGACAATCTCCACAGTGCATTAAGATTATCCTTAAAACAGCAGTACCCAAACACCGCGGTGCTATGAATGGGACCCCACATTCTACTAAATTCAGAAATTTCTGGCATTTCAAACATGTTTTTCATATATAAGCCGGGCAGTCTTGAAAATAAAAAATGGATGACAAAATTTGCTGGAGTGGAGGGCATTAGCATGTGATCCCACCCAAATTGTTTGCCACCCACTTATAGCAGGTGAGGCATTTTTAATGGTTAGATCTTCAGTGAAGAGCAGGATGTGTTCATTTTAGTCATTCTCTTTCTGATTTGGATTTCTTTAAAAAAAAATCCAGCAATTCATAAACTGTCCTTTTTGTTTCCTGACAGATTTGCACCTCATGATTTACCACAAACTCATACTATGATGAAACCGTCGCAACAACACAATATACTCCTCTTTCTGTTCCCCGTCCTTCTGACGTCGCTTTCGGAAGCAGAATTTTGCTATGATTGTATAAAAAGTAATATTACTTAAACCAAACACCCCGAAATGAAAACGGACCAGAGCTAGGGATTTCCTACCGGTTATGCGTCACATAGCTAAGAACTATGGAGCGGAGAGATATTTAATATTTCATTCTCTGAGAATGGGGGGTTTTTTGGATTTTTTTTAGTAATTTTGTGATAGGAACCCCAGATTGATCCGCTATATTAAGACAATCCTGACAGCTTTTTTAGCGCGGCCAGCTAACCAACACTCCGTGTGGTTTGCAACCGGTAGCCTAACTGACGGAAAACAGTGACCCTTTTCATCTTTGATGTCGTTAACTAGCTGCTTTCACTAAAATCTATTCGGATAGAAATCAAGTCCAGAGAATAATAAAAAAACAGTTTTTATTTTATTTAGTGGAGCTTACGGTATAAGAATTATGAAACATAAATTAGATTACTAAGCAAACTAAAAAACTTTAACGCCAAACTTGTATGACTCCATTTCAGAGCGGTGTCCATGCCAGAACCATGCAGTTATTCGCGTAATGTCCATTTAACAGCCTCCACAGAAACGAGCGTAATCCGTCTACCTTATACCATAATATCGTAGTGAGGTGTTTGTGGATACTATTAATATAGTGTTTTATCGAACAAGATTTTGTGAAAATGTGAAAATACATTCTGCGTGACCGTTGGGAAGTATAGAAAACACAATCACTACTTGTTGTTTGTGTAGTATTAAAACAATGACTGGGTTGCCCACTTCGGTCAGCTGGCTGGAGTGAGATGTCAAATTTACATGCATGTAACAGTCTTATTACCTTCTAAATATAGGATGTAGGGTTTGAAAACGACATGACAGATGCGTAAGAGTTGGCAGCCCTGCAAAAAGGGAACTTTAGCGCTACACCACACCATAACACTGATTTTTTGGGGTTTGCGAACAAAGCCTAATTGACATTGAAACGAAGAACTCCAGACCACGTGCCCGAAGTCGACCAATCGGAGCGCACGAACTACCCCCCTATCCCACCTGCCTAAATATGCCCCAACGTTCGGTGTAGTATCTCGTAGACTTTAAGCTAACGGTTGCTTGAATTTAAACGCAATTTATCTTAAAAAAAAGGTAAATTTGGTTTTGAAATCCTGAATTACCCACATACGTCTGTCAGGCAAAGCCTACATATCATTTAGATAGTTTTTTTACCTGTTAATGATTGCAAAAACTGACTACTACATTCATGAGCTTTTTTACAAGCTAGCTACGGTTTTAACTGACATTTTAATATTAGTCATTTGAAAACATTATGGTTGATTATGTTTATATCTGTAATAACCTAATGTTACTGCACACATAGTTTTTTTTTTCTTTGCCAGTCATGTCCCTATGTGAGGACTTTCTCCTCTGCAACTTTCCCAAATGCCGGGCAAAGCTGAGTGGCTTTGCTTGGGTGACAGCATGTTCACATGCCTTCTGTGACCAGCATGGATCAGGGGAATTCAGCCACTCACCAGCGATCTGCCCTGCATGCTCATCCGCACTGTCAGGCAAACTGGATATTGTGCGCACAGAGCTAGCCCCATCCGAAGAGTACAAGGCCATGGTGTTGGCAGGGCTAAGGCCTGAGATTGTGCTAGATATCAGTGCCCGTGCTCTCGCTTTCTGGACCTACCAGGTATTTCTGTGTACATATTTTGAAGGTGTGAGACTGTGTAGAGAGGTTTCCGGAATGTATATATATATAAGGGCGAAATGCCGTTCTGCATACCAGGTTCATCAGGAACGCTTGTTCCAAGAGTACAGTCTGTCCCGAGCTGAGACCCAAGTGAAGCAGGCAGAAAAGCTGTTGGCCCAACAGAGTCAGAGTAGGGAGTTGGAGCTCAGTGCCATGAGAGGAGAGATCTCCTCACTCAAAAAGGTGCCATATCTGTACAATAGCCTTCTCTGTTCTCATCCCCACCAATTTCCTTAACCAACTTGCCGATAAATTTCAACCTTGAGCTTATGTAAACATTTAGGCAATTAGTTAAAAGCTGGCTTTTTTTTCTAAACAACACTATGTTACTTTCCTGCCCTAAAGGTGATGGAGGAGTACAAAAGGAAGTACAGTGAGGTTTCTGAGCGGTTGATGGAGAGGAACAGACAGTATCAGAAGCTCCAGGGCCTGTATGACTCACTTCGTCTGCGAAACATGGTGGTGGGGGAGAGAGAGGGGATACGCTTTGCCCCCCCAGAATTTGCCCCAGCTCGTAGACAGGACAACACAGGTTGGGAGGGAGACAGATGGAGATGAAAGAGTTATTAAATTAAACATCAAACTACATGATGTATTTTGTGAAATTATTATGTTATGCAAATCTTAAATTCAAGGCAAAGTTTGAGCTTAAATCTAAGAGAAATTAGGAATGATAAAATAAGAGTTAATTATACTCCTAACCTACAGATTGAAGACACTGTGTTGTGTGTAATACAGAGCTGTTTCTGCTTCCCCAGGTATGGAGGGCCATCACTCCACCTACAATAGTCCATCCTTTCTGGGTACAGGATCTGAGGGAAACAAGATCTTCTCCACATTGGAGCCTGATCACACCAGGAGTTTCTTCCGTTTTAACTCCCCAGCAAATAGCCAGAGTCATGCCTTTGTGAGGAAGCAGTGACACCAGCTGACTTCCTTTAGTACAGTGAGATCACAGTGAATACCAGGAACACTGAATTCAGTGAGATCAACCGATTCATTCAACATTCCAAACCTGACTATCTCAAACTAGCAGGTTCATTATTAGTGCAGATGAAATATCACACACAAGTGCACATTTCTGTAATTCAACACAATGGAAAAGCTTTTTGAACACAGTGACGTTTATACTTCAGAATTTAGTTGTTGGGCCAGTGCATTACTTACTCTGGTCAAATGTTATGCTGTATAAGGCCTTGGCAAGGACAAGCTCTCTCGTTCTAGGTGGTACCAGACATTTTTTGCAGCTAACTTAAACACTGCTAATTGATTAAACATTCCGTTACACATACGAAAATGTGGTAGTTTAGTACTTGGAAATGCAAATGGGAATGCTGAATGTTAATTAGTGATAATAGTGCACACACTTCATAGTTTATATATGATCTACTCACAAAAGAACTTCCATTGCCCAAATATGTGTAAGAATGGCTGATATTAGGATTTGTTCGTTTCTACTGAATCTATTGACAATTTAAAAATAAAATGTTGCACTTGTGTCCTTGCTTTTAAAACTATAGATCTGATAAGTTTAAAGCATTTCTGCATCTACAATAGAGATGAATAAAAATCCAGGTTGCATGGTGTCTGGCGTTGTCTTTAGGCATACAAAAGGCAAACCAAAATAAACTGAAAATGCATGAAAAGTGGCCAGCAAATCTCAATTTTCCCTTTTAATGAACATTTTTTTATGTTCCTCAAGGGACAGCTTTACACCATATAATTACAGGGTACAAAAAAAAAAAGGTTTAATACATATTTATAAAGAGACATCTATCTAAAACATAGTGGATGCAAAAGGACAAATATTTACACTACTTTCTCTCCAGATTCACAGTTCTCCAGTTTTGGTTGGTCCCAGTCTCACTCAAGGAAACTGCCGACTTACACTGTGCTTGGACTTCACTCCGTAGAACCCTCACTCACTCTGGGGCTTGTAGCTGACGGAGGCTGCCATCTGACTTCTTGCTGCTTGCCTCTTGCCATTGACAATGAGGAACAGTGGAGATTGCACACGTATGCTGCGAAAGTCATATGACTGCAGAAGGGAAGGGTATAGAAATACTTCTGAGCAGGTAAGCAACTGGTTCCTAAAGCCAATGACAGTGATGACTAGTCTGCCCAAAATATAGATGTATCTTTATCAAGTCTGGGAGAAAAATACAGGTATTCAGAGTACATGGGTATAGACAGTCAAAGTTTGTTCCTTGTGTGATCAGCATGTGATTATGTGAGGGACTAACCTGATCTTTGTGTGTAACACTATGACGTTTGACCTGGGGCTCAGGGATGACCACAGTGTCTCCAATCAAGACCCCCCAGTTGTCTGCAGTATTGTAGACCATGACCACACAGCAGGTCTCCTCGCTGTCCACAATACCAAAAGTACTGGGAAAGAGAGGCAAAGACCTCTCATTACTTACTTCATATACATACAGTGTTTTTATGACATCCATCCATTCATCCACCCATCCTGTAACTGCTTATCCTGGTCAGGAGTCGTGCTACAACTGGAGTTCCTGAATAACCTCACATCTACTAAAATCACATACTAAAAGACAAATATTTCTGGAATGTATGATAAATGACGGTTGACATGATAAAAATAGGTTAGGGTAATGTGACTCCAAAATTTAATAACTTACAGTTACTAATTAACAGAGATACTAGAGGCCAATATGTAATTATATGCATTTTAAATAAGAAATAATAATAATATATTAATCGATTTTATCATAAACATCTCCTATGGGTCTTATGAGTCTCACATGATTTACCTAGTAGTTGCTGTGCTTTTGTGATAATTTGTCAAATATTTTTACATTTTTAGAAATCAAAGACTTTGACCTGTGCATTGCATGGACGTACAAAAGTTTGACTCTTTTAGATTTGAAAACCAGTTCAGATTTACTGGAAAGAACAATTTGTTCATGAATTTGACACCACTACTGTTCACTTGGATAGCTGTTTTTGTGTGCAAGTAGTGTTTCTCGCTAAGACCATATCTCGATGTAGTTTGTGTAGTGCTTTTCTCTCTGACTGAAAATCACACAAATACAAATGATATCTTCCACGTTGTACTGGACTTGGGTACTAATATATCAATCACATTAAAACAGATTCTGCAGGAAAAAGACTGCAACAACAAACTTTAGTGGTCTGGTTATGCCAAGTTATGTCATTGTTATTTACAATGGTTTAAATATTGCTCGTATGGGTACTCGGTATCGACAAGTACATAAATGCAAGTACTCACACTTGTACTTGATCTGAAAAAAATGGTATCGGTGCAACCCTAATATATATGTATGGCAGCTGTATGTATAGGCCTTATTTTCTACAGCATGCAACAAATCTTAACCATGCTTTTCCAAGATCTGGGGTGAACAACTCCTTGTGAAGATACTCATTGTATTCTATATATGTTTAGCAAACTCACAAGGCCATGCGCCCCTCGGAAGCAATGCTGAACACCACCTTCCCAATGGCAGCAGCCCCTGTGTTGTGTCCATGAGAAAGGGCTGACAGACTGCAGGGTTTCAGCATTCCCACACTGCCTGAGGGCGAGCAGTATTGCGGTGAAGAGCATGGCCCTATAGAAGAAACACAGAGGGAACCTAGCATGGTCCTCAACTTCCGTGCCTTGACCTTCCCCTGGGAAGACAGAGATACATTGGACCTTAGTCTGCAAAATGACTCAGAGCACATGCAATGGAGCCTACTAGAAATAATATATCATTGATTCATAACATATCATAGATCTTGCCACACTTTAATATACAACTTTACTCCTATGTGAATTTAGATCTTTGAGTAATTGTTTAATGAATTTTCTGTCTAAAGACTGAAGGAGCCTCAGTTTTACTCAATGAAGTAGAAGGATCAGACTTCCTGACTGGCCGACCAACCAACCATGTGGATATCATTCCAACACATACAAACATTTACTTGCAGCTGGAAAGAGAGGATAAGCATCAACATATCCAAGTCCCAAAGTACCTTATTGTCAATGAGGGCAGTGAGCCGATGCAAGTAATCCAACAACTGCCTCTCTCTCTCACAAGGATCCTCCCACCCGGGGTCCAGAGCCGCAGCCCGACTGTAACCAGCCAGTGCCGAGCTAAACATCTCCTCATACTGGAAGAGCTGAAACATGCAATTCATTCAGTCATTAGTGAAAGAGTAGCACTTCATTGTGAATTGCAGGTCAGGTCGACAGTGCCACATTATTCCTGTAGGCCAGAAATAAAGGTTACCTCACCAGAAAACAGTAACAAAAACTCCATCCTGCTTGCCCACTCCCCAAACTAACACAGAATCACCGTTTGGGCACCTTAAAACCTGGAATACTAATTAAATTTACCATTTACTGCTTCTGAGCACAAAGCAGATTAGGCTGAAGAGAAACTACACTTGTACCGTGGCTCTGTTGAAGTGGAGGTCGGGATTACAGGATGCTGTGCTGTCCACTCTCTCCTGCAGCAAGACAGAACACAGTACACAGTTCCTTTCACTCCAGTGTGGATTACAGAGGTACTCACAGACAGACTGTGTCAACCCACGGGTATTAGCTATGCGCATGAACTCACAGCTTGTGCGTAAGCGCTAAGAGCTTGCTGTGACATCTGGGGGTTCTGGCCGCTGCTGAAGAAAAGCGAGACGTAGGCATTCCCCAGGATGTCTGTGAGCACAAACATTTATGATCAGATCACTCCCCTGCTCCGCTCCACTTCCAGGTACCCAAGTCCAACCGAACTGTTCCATCAGTCTGTATTCTGTTTCACCTGGATGGTTCTTAATTTACTCCCCCAACCCTCTCAAATGCAATCAACCAGACAGACACACCGTGTTCCAAACACTCACTGATTAACTCATCTGTCCTCTAGTAGTAAATGGGAAAATGTTTGATATTTGGCTTTACTCTGATTCCTAATCACTGCCTACTAGTTCAAATTCGTACTGGCCTCCTTAATTAAACAAAGGAGCTGCACCACTCTCCTCCAACCCCACCCCCTGCACTCACACCAAGATGTCCCATCTGCGACGTCCAGCTGCACAGCCTGCCGGGCCAGGTCCACACTCTCCAGCACACGTTTCCCTTGCTCCTGGGCATCTCCTGCTGGCAACTGCCTCAGCACCATGGACAGACTGCGCAGGGACACCTTATTCTTACACTGGTGGGAGGGGAGGGTTACAGTGCAAGTTATACATATACAGCTCTGGAAAAAATTAAGAGACCGCTATATGTCTTAAAAATATGCATTTTACAGGGTGGAAGCAACTTCTTAATGCCAGAGATGACAGTCAAACTATCCAACAGTGTCTCAAATCGGAGGATGGCCTCAAGTGACCTTCAAAAAAAAATGGGAAACATGAAGTGCTGAAGTGTACTGCTAGGACAGGCAAGGACAGCAAGGACTTCTAGAAGCCCATAAAGCAAGCCTTCATGAATGAGAAGCATGGAAGAGCCAGGCTGGAGTTTGCATTGCAAAGAAAAAAAAAATGTATATTTTACACAGATGCATTCGCATAAGATGAGAAATAAGTGAAACTAAAAATGTTGCTGTGGTTGCTTAATTTTTTTCCAGAGCTGTATACAAACATATTCATGTATCACAAAGAAACTAAATGCTTCTCCCCTCCCTCAGACTGACCTGCTGCAGTGCCCCGTTCCGTCTCCCCTCCCTCAGACTGACCTGCTGCAGTGCCCCGTTCCGTCTCCCCTCCC